TTCGCAATAGGGGGGATTGGTAGTGACGCCGCCAAGATGATGGCTGTGCAATAGTCAGCATGAACTTGTTCTAGAGAAACTTGGATATTGGAAATCTGTGATGGATTGCCGCTGCGGTGGATGCCTCTAGGTGTGGTTGATAATTTTCGTTGGCGCTTCGGCTGCGAACATCGACCCGCTCAATGCAACATTACGATTCCTTGGTGCCTGAGGCTGCGATCAGGTCGGTCTGTCGTCCTGCATACAGGTCCCTGAGGCAAGGTTAGCAGCTCACATAAACTGCTACCATCCTTCAGCCAATGTTCTTCCTCTGCACAGGTAGGTGAAGGAATTATGCACATCTTACGTTAACCCTTACCTAGTACCTTACGTAGGTAGGCAATAAGATGGTTAGCCTGCTCGTGGGATAACGAACTGCGCGTAATAGGAGAACCATGGAAACAATCTGACTTGCATTGGCAAATTGTCTTACCACCATCGTAGCTTTCTAATCGAGATCCTATATTACAATGTTCCGAGGAAGACCATCATTCGGCGACAATCGTAGTCGGCGGATTTGTTGTGCTTGGGAAAGCTGAGCCCCACCTCCGTTCCCGGATCGGAAGAAGGACGCGGCGAAGAAAAGTACCTACGTCGGCCCACTGCCCAGTGCTTTGGGTGGCAACTGGGTGACATTTAAATTGATACATCTAAACATTATCCCATGTTATTCTCGAGTCTGTGACCGGTATTGTCTCATTATTAAGGACTAACAAGAAAAATCTAAGAGATTGTACATTAAATAATATTAATTTATGTCGTTTTATACTGCCATGCCATTCTAGTAGCTATAGAAAGTGCTCAGATCATAACCACCCTTCAATTCGATGCCTCATTTCTTTTGTCACCCAGCTGGGTGGCTGAAGCTCCTGGTCCCCCGGTGTCTGTTGACGTTGCTGGTAGTAATTACCCCTCCATTGTGAGCCCACAGCGGGCTATACAGCATCTACCCCGCCATGAATTTGCAGCTGAGAGCACCACCTACGCGTCTCCGTCACGTTGGATCTCAAATATTCCACGCAACCATTTCATAGTCTGTAGATATGGCAGACTCAGAACAGCCAGAAATCTCTTCCGAACCTCAGAGTAGGCATGTGACATACTGCGGAGGTAAAGTCTGAACAATGCATACTTGACAATGTGTCTTCCGGCATCGTCTAATTGTGATTTTTTCTAGTTTGCACTCTGCCACCCGAGGTAGACTCTTCCCCGTCCGACTCTCGCCCGAGCTCCGCATCGTCCGTTGTATTCTTAGGAACTCTTACTGAATAAACCGAATAGTACTGCGAATATGGTGGTACCGTGAAGAAGTGCCAGGACTGGCTCCAAGAGAACCACCCGACGTTGTACGAAAGGATATGGTCACCAGGTTCGCTTTGCCCGAATGCCCACCTCTTCCTGGAGAATCCAGTCTGTTTGATTACCGTGTTCTGATACCTTGCGTCATGCAGAGGCACTGGAAGCAGCGACTGCAGCTCTGTCTGTTGATGCCCAAAAGAGAGCCGCACGCGACGCCCAGAAGAAGACCGCAAAGGCCGAGGCAGCCGAGGCCAAGCAAGCCGATAAGCTCGCTAAGAGCGTCATCACCATTAAGCGGATCGAGCGAAACAAGAAGAAATTCGTCACCGCGGTCATCGGCTTGGAGGCTTTTGGTCTGGAGCTCAAGAAGGTAGGTGACGTTGCTTTATCCTTGTTCCGCCGAGACGAGGGATGCTCATCATTTGTTTAGGTAGCAAAGGACCTGGGAAAGAAGTTTGCCACAGGATCCTCGGTAACAAAGGTTCCTAGCGGAGGTGAAGAGATTGTTGTACAGGGCGATGTCAGCGACGAGCTTCAGGAGTTCCTTCTGGAGAAATACAAAGATATCCCGGAAGACAACATCGAATTTGTCGACGATAAAAAGAAGAAGAAGGCCACCTCAGGATAAGGGTTGGTTGGGTGGGGTGCATAGAGCGTAGCAGCAATACGAAGCCGCATATGTCAATTGATTGTGTCAAAAACTCCATTTTCTAATCCATGATGTTGCTCCATGCCAAATCCGTTCCCTCATGATTACTATCTAGACGCCCGACCTGAGAAAAGAAACAAACTCCAAAATAATCTCATAATTCCATTGTTTATGCTCGGCTTCGAAGCACCCTTCCTGTCCGGGTTGTTGAGGCCGCGGTAGTCTTCGGGGCTGCTTTCTTCGCCTCAGAACTTGCTGTGCCTTTATTGGTCGCTGCCGTGACTGGTTTCCTTCGCGGAGCAGGATTTGTTGACTTGGGAGCAGCGTTTCTTCTTATTACGGTAGTTGTACTGGCCTCACTCATCTCGCTTGTTACGCTTAGTCGACGGCCCATTCGGGTCGCCGGCCTGGAGGTGGGCGCTCTTGAGGCAGCTGAGGCTGGAGCACGACGTGTCTTGCTCGCGGCAGTAGTTCCAGTCGTCGTCGTGCTAGTGCTCGACGTGGTTGTCACTTTTCTCGTTCCTGTTGCCCGTGCTGACTTTGCTTTCTCCACAAAGTTGGAGAGCATCTTTGTAGCTGTTGCAGTGCGTGTAGGGGGGGCACTCTTGAGAGGGGAAGCAGGCCTGGCAATTTGGGACTTGGCAGGAGATGCAGGTCGTTCTCGGTTGGCGTTGAGACGAGAATTGGAGGATGTAGGGGACAGAATCTGTGCTGGCCGAATGGGTGGACCATCATTATGGTGAATCACGCGCCTCTTCTTGGGGTTTGCCATGTCTTCGATCTCGTTCTCCTTATCTCCAGAGATCTCATTGCTTTACATGGCGTTAGAAACAATCAACATGTTGAAGAGAGAGACATATCGCTACATACCTCTGTCGCTTTGCGACACGCCCAACCCGCTGAGGCCTGATTGGTTGTTGGGTAGGCTTTTGAGGACTGCGCAAGGACGTGATGTCTTTGAATGGAACTGGTGGTGGGTGTCTGCTGGCGGCAGCGGTTCGTTGTTCCTTTTCGGCATACTTGAGTAGTAGATCTTCCATTTTCAGCTTTCGCAATGGCATAGGAATGCGATTTATTCTGATCTCAATACGAGAGCGCAGGCCTTGAGCCTGCAGATTATACTGGGCCCTCATTCTTCGAGCGCGTTCGGTGACTGATTTATCTTGTGTTAGTAAATACACCACAAGAGATCATTGGACCATAGTCGCGTACTTTCGAGTTGTAAGTTGTCGATTAGAGCTTGTTTCTGTTGTGCGCTTATGATGCCCTTTCTCTGCTTAATTGGACTGTGGTGTCTAGGTGTTGCGACGGCCTTCATGGTGGCTGCTGAGTTCGAATCGCGTTTCTTTGGTCGTACGGGCGCCATCTTGTAGGGTGTGTTGTGGTTTATTTCCCGATATCTGTTGAATTCTGGTGAGGGCTGGTACGTCTATGTTGTGCCAAAGTGTTGTCGATTTGACGTGTACTGTTGAAGAATTTCAAGTTGTTGTGAACCGTGATGGGTTGAATGGATCGAGAACTTGGGGAAGTAAACAAACCACCAAGAGCTCTGAACCTCTCGAACGCTGTGCTGGATATTACATAATCATTCTTGGGCGAAGAAAACTGGGGCTGCTGGGGCTGCCTGAGAGGTACCTCTAGCTTGGTGCAATTCAGGCCAATCAGCGAGTACAGTTCTCCACATCGCTGGAGCTGCTTGCCCAGCAGGCTGAACCACCTTACGACATCGGCCAGCTGCCTCTGTCTGCTTCTCTGTGCAACAAAAGCATAATCACCACCCTTGATCATCCCCCCCGGCAAATCTGCAAGCGATCCCTTCTCACGAGATTCCTTCTACATACTTTGAAGCTGGAGCATTAGACCATAGCTATTGACCGCTTCTATCCGCCATCATGGTTCTCGAGGCGGTTATGGTTGTCGTTGACAACAGCGAGAGCAGTAGGAATGGCGACTATCAACCCACGAGATTCGATGCCCAAGTCGATGCCGTAAACACCCTCTTCCAGACCATTACGCAAGGAAACCCCGAGTCATCAGTTGGCTTGATGAACATGGGCGGAAAAGGTCCCGAGGTCCTCGTCACCTTGACCACAGAGCAGGGCAAGATCCTGGATGGGCTGCACCGAACGAGGAAGAAGCTGAGTGGAACTGCCCATCTCAAGACCAGCATTAAAGTTGCACAGGTAAGATCTAAGGCCCCAGCACGACGTCAGGATCGGTGAATTAACAGAAAGATAGCTTGCCCTCAAGCATCGACAGAACCGATCTCAACGTCAACGGATAATCGTGTTCATCTGCTCGCCGCTTGCAGAAGAGCAAAAGGAACTTGTACAGCTTGCAAAGAAGATGAAGAAGGAAAATATCACGGTTGACTTTGTGCTCTTTGGCGACCTTGAGGATGACGGCACGCACCAGAAGCTCGAGGCCTTCAACGAGGCTGTCAAGGGTAACGAGGGCTCCCACTTGGTGGTTTTCCCACCGAGCAGCAAGCTCCTGGGCGACCAGCTCGTCTCAAGCCCCATTCTGCTCGGAGACAGCGCCGGTGGGTCTGGAGACGCAGGGCCATCTGGCAATGAAGAGTTTGAGTTCGGATTTGACCCAGCTCTGGAGCCCGAGCTTGCTCTGGCTCTGCGCATGAGTATGGAGGAGGAGAAGGCCAGACAGGAGAAGAAGGCAAAGGAGGAAGAAGAGGCTGCTAAGAAGGCTTCCCTGGAAGGAGTGAAGGAGGAGGATGAGGCTGGCGGTAGCGGAGATGCTGGCGCAAAGAAAGATGGTGGGGATAAAATGGACACATCCTAATGGGCTGCTATAGATTTACTTGCACGATGAATAGAAGGCAGGGACAATAGTAGAGGAACTGCTAGCTCTGTCTGGATTGATCGCATTTATACACTTCTGACACCAGTCCCACCGCCCAATGTAATTAAACAGCACTATTGACGCCGTGAAGGCCGAGCCTTGGCCCCGATGATGAGAAGGCGAACTTGTGAAATCGAATTCTGTGCTTCCATTACCGATTATTAATCTCCCTAATGTACGACAACAGCTTGCGATCGAAGATCTCGCATCTGATGGGCATTTCTAAAGAATAGAAGGGGTTCTTCATGACGTAATCGGCATAGAGGTCATATATCTTCTTCATAGTGATATCCCCATTTGTTTGAGTTGTATCTGTGAAGAGTAGGAATTTGGTGCCTGTGAGGGTGTTGAAGCACTGCATGCGAAAATTCTCTGACTCAAGACTTTCTAGTCCGGACGGAGGGTCCGGTCTTGAGTTTGCGGCAGATGCGTCTTTGGTAGCCTGTGGAAGTCCCTTGAGCGGGTTCAAACGGGCAGTGATAGCGTGGACACTGAACCCGAAACGAAGGAGGGAGAAGCGGTCAGTTGTGTACATGTCTGGATATGAAGGTGAAGCTCAAAGATCACCTACCCGTGAAAGGTTCCGGCCAGGACGAGGTAGTCATTCGTGCTGATCTGGTTCAGGCCGTCGTGGAAGTTTTTGTTGTAAACTAAGCCACCCGCCTTATTGATGATGATGAGGGCGAAGATAGTCCTGTGTTGACGAGGTGCGTGAGCTAATGAGCCTTGGGGTTTGAATGGATAAACTGCTAGCTTTGAACCTACATGATGGACAGTATGTAAGAAGATATACGCCATTCACTCGTAGATCTTTATCAGGATGTGCTGGAACGCCCACCTGGTTCCTTGCCAACTGGTTGATGGGCCACCATGAATGAACCTGAGAGAGGGTCGTCAGTAATGGATGAATGCACATTGCCATTCAGTCAAAAGGACTAACCTTGCTGCTGATGAAATGTTCCGAGTTGGTGATGTCCTATAATCTCTAACCAGCACTTGCTTGCTCAGAGCCATGCAACTTAATGCTACCTAGCCGCGTTTATTTCATTAATGTCGTTCCTGGATTGGGGTAATTATGTGTGAGGCTATGGGAACTGCTGTCCAATTTCAAGCAGATGCCCCTTGCAGGTCGATACCTTGATCGAAGTATAAGTACTTTTACGTCACACATAATTGGCACTTGTTTGACTGTTGAGAAACGTATCTTTACTAGAAAGCTTGTTACTGCACTCTAAACCCAATTTAGTAAGATAAGCCCCTAAAAAACCCGAGGGCTCCAGAATACTACTTCTCCCGGCTTAGTCTCATGCATAAAAATATTTAAATCGAACAAAGGTGACAGACAGCCTTAACCATTTACGCTCTAATTATCAACCACCATTGTTGTCGCGTGGGGGAAGGCGCCAATCCGATCGAGACGGCCTTACTTTTTGCCTTGCTGCTGGTTTCCATCTATAACTTTTGATTCCTCCCCACGGTTCGGTTCCGACTACAACGCGACGCATTCTGCACGGCCGTGGCACACGGGATTCTCTCCACATACCGCCAAACTGTGTTTCTCAAGGTAGAGCTTGCTTCTCGCTTCATCAAACTCTCCTCCCCGCCTTGCAAGCTCACCTCCAACTTCACGCTTCCTTCCGCCGAGTTCCCTCTCGAGTTCCAGCAGTTCCGTCGAAGGAACAATGTCCAACCATCCCCGCACATCTCGCCCCAAGCCTCCTCCTCCTGGGAACGAAGAAGCATCCGCAACTTTGAACCTCGGAGAGTTCCAGAATGTCGACACCCTGACCCTATCAGAAGCCGCGCTTGTCCTGAATGCGCTGGTCGCGAAGCGTCGCAACGATCGGAAGAACGTGAACGAGACCGAGTAAGCCAAGACCGCATATCACAATCCACCCGTCTCTATCTGCCGCCAAGGGGGAAGACGAATTTCGTACAAGGGAAGAGTGAACATGTGATGTGCTGACGCAATTGGTCTCTTTTTTTTTTGCTCCGAAATAGAATGCTGAGCCAAACCCTAAATTACCTGGACCATTTCGCGCGATTCACGCAAAAGGAGAATGTCGAGGCTGTAGAGCGCCTTCTGAGCGCGCACAAGAATCTGGAGAAGTTCGAAAGAGCGCAGCTTGGTACGTGAGCCGCGCAGGATACATTGTGCTTGTGTGACCTGTTGTTTGTTCGCTGACGCCCGATCATAGGGTCATTGTGCTGCGAGAATGCAGACGAAGCCAAGACGTTGATCCCATCTCTCACTGATAAGATCAAGGACGAGGATTTACAGGACCTTCTTGATGAGATCTCCAAGTTGCAGAACCGATGAGACGTCGTATGCTCTTGGGTGTTTGGTGACTGAAGATTTGAGGAAATCAAATCTAACACCATCAAGCGGAAAGAGAGACTCCCGCGTTGCCCTTTGTTTGGTTCCTTTTTTCCTTCCCTTTGTTCCCAGCAACAAGTCCCAGGCTGAGCATCATTCGTGAAAATCGACGAATGTTTCCATGGGTAGATTTCAACCGTGCATTTTAGGCGTATGGGCAAAATTGAGACGGACCTCGCCACTTATTAAGGCAGGTGGTAAACTAGTATGTGACAAATGAAAGAGACCATACCCCCCGTTATTTGGAAAAGAAAGGAGTACTGCTGTGTTCTGCTACTGTCTCTGTCTTTATAGACCTCTTTCGACGACCGATCTCCAGAAAATAGCTTTAATTTACTCTCTTGGAGGGCTTTGTCTCTGGATACTATGTGAATCTGGTAATTTCCCGCTATTCAGCTCCGCACGTCGTCAACACATCAAATTCCACCCAAATTACATCAAACCTGGCCAAATGGGACAATACCACCGCCACCACATCCTCATAAATCGGAGGCAAACCTCACACCCTATATTTGGACCTCCATTCTCACTCTGTGCCCATTGCTTTGTACTGGTTCCAGTGATTGATGTATCTTGGTTTACCCCCTTCTTGTCCAAGCTGGTTCAAGTTCGCGGATGGGTCAATCGTCCTTGCAGGGGCATTTGCTCTTTCAATGTCTATTGGCAGCCTGTCACTTGGACGGTCCCGCTTGCAAGCTGATGGGCTTGTATCCGGAAGCTCGCATGGGGCGATGCTTGTTCCGTCCATCTCGAAGGTGTTGCTGACCGGTGCAATTGGATATTCAGACTCGGGCCTGTCTACACGGCCTAGGGTTTGAGACTGTCAGCATAACGGATACTATGGTGGCTTCTAAAGAGCAATTGTATTTCTCACCTCCAAAGGGGGCAAACGGATCCTCATTGCCTGGTGTTCCGGTTGTTTGTAGCGACCCACGCTGGGGCAAGTGCTTCTCCGCAAAGACGTCGTCTCTGCCATACGCTGCATCGAAATCGACCTCGTCGTTATTTTCAAGAGCTTTCTTGTGACGGCGCTTTAGAATGAAAGTCAATGCGATAACTACGGCTATGAAGGCAGCGCCTGCAACACCTATGCCAACGAGTCCCCCAGTCGAAAGTGGCGGCCCATCGTTGCCTTCCAAAGAGCTATCCGTTGCATTGCTCTGTGTCGGTGAGGGCGTAAGGGCAAAGCTTTCGCTACTCGAGTTTGGAGATATGAAGCTGGTTGAACTTGTCTCGGTGCTCAATGGCGGGGGCTTGTCTGTGATGATGAGAGTATGTCTCGTGACCGTGACAACTTCATTGTTGGGAATAGTTATTGTTTTGCCTGAATCTGTTTTGGTGGTCATTGGAAATCGTGTGCCAGACTTCTCAGTCCCGATGGCAGGGTCTTTTTCAGATGATACACCACCACTTGGCTCGATCTCATCACTGGGTCTGGAGGTTGTCCGAGTGGCTTTTGGGGGTGGCCAGAGTGTTTCTTCCGAGGCCGTACTGTCCGCACTATTGTCATCGGCCACGCGTGGGTGAATGGCAAATGCTTGGGCACCCATCTCGAGGTTGGGATTTGGCCACCGAAAGGATAGGTGCCGCGAGACCAGAGTTGTTCCGTATGCTGCCTAGGAAACAGGGCTTGGTAAACACGGACACGATATAGTTTAGAAGAAATGATAAGAAGTTGCGGGTGGTATGACGCGGAGACACATCAATCCTGACCTGGAACAAGCCACTCAAAGTCGATCAGGTGATCTGTATCGAGAGAGTTACCATCTCTAGATAGCAGGTGCTGATGGAAACCTGGCCGATGCAAATTGAGTGGACTGTGATGGAAGTTGGAAGCGTGTTTTTGGTGGAAAGGAGAATCGATCTGCTGCTTTTTGCCTGCTCCAGGTGGACAATTGCAGTGCTGATGGGAATTTGCCGAAGGGAAGGGAGGAGAATTGGAAGGTGAAAGAGAGGAATAAGAGAAGGAAGATGAAGCTTTAGGGAGGCGAGAGGGCTCTCGAATTGTAGAGTGAGAGGTAGTACAAGGCCAAGCGCAACTGGTCCGGTCAAAGTGCTCGCTGGCTGACCGGTTTTGTGGGAGTGGCGAAGGCAGAGCAGGCTGGCCACCAGAGACGGTGAGACAGTTCTGAGAAGTGCGAGGTGATAATTAGGCTTGGCTGAGTTGGCAAACGGCAACAGCTGTGTGAACCTTCGTGGGTCCTTCCTTCGCTGCCTATTACCTGGACGCAGGCTCTATGAGTTCCCTGATAGATCAGACCAGTGACCTCACTCGCTACTTCCCAGCGGCAAGCGACCCTTATCAAGGAGAGACTCGAGAATTGGAACATTTGCTCATACGGCTCGACAATATGCCGCCAGTTCTTCGTCAGCATCTAGGATAGAGCTCCTGTGTATAGCGCAAACCATCCATCTGCCTAGGACAACGGCTGATGCTGGGTATCAGAACGCTTCCTCTAACACCCGTACTAAGGTACCAAGGGACCACCTACCTCAGTACTTGAGATATGCGCAGCTCTGGGCAGGCATCAGTGATCTCAGCACCTAATAAGGCACGTACTGGGCAGCAGCCTCCAGTTTGCCTGTATTGAGTACATGCGACTGAAGTAGTAAACACCCGAGTCCCAGACACTCCCTTGCTTTTAACGATGTCAAAAGAGTCCGCAGTACTCGGCTCCTCCTGGACTATGTTCGATGTTATTTTGTTTACCTCTCCTGACGAAATGTTGCAGCGGAAGAAAGATGTACCTAACACATGATGGACCATTTGCGCGGCCATGCGCCAGTGTAACAACGCCAAACACGGACAGCGACACAAGTGCCACAACACTCGGGACGTTTGTCTCTCAAGCACCCGCCTCAATTTTGGACACCCATTTGCTACGATATCACGAGCCAAAAATAGGGCGAGCGAGAATATAGATTTCCATCCCCATCAGAACGCCCAATATACGAATTTCGCCATGTCACTAGCTACAACGAGACCTATCTATAACGCCCCCAGGAGAATTTTGCTACCCATATTGCCAACTGGCTTTTCTGTCCTCTTCTTTCCCTTCTTGTTTCCCTTCTGCTCCTTTTCGTCGGCTTCCTTTGACGCCTTTTGCTCGGCGGTTGCCTCCGTGGATGCCTTTTCTAATAGCTTCTTGTTCTTCTTGAGCACCTTCTTCAAGGCATCCGTGTCTTTGAAATCACTCGACTCGACGAGACCAACGACAACGAACGATCCAGGGCCCGTCGCCCAATCGACGATGTGATCCTTGATAACAGGATATAAGACATTCGAGAACTCTAGGGGAGGATCTACAGGGATGACCTTCCCTGCCGCCTTGTCGTACCGTCCGCCTTGGATCAACGACTTGAGCATGCGGGTGCCAAAAGC